CTGCAGGAGGGCTGATAGACTTGCTCTGAGCATAGATACTAACCCAAGGGAGATACTACCCCCCTTGGGTTAGTATCTATGCTCTGATTGGTCTGATTGTTTGTAAATGGCGAATGTAATTTACTAAAGTGAAATGAAGCGGGGTTTCTGAAAAACAATCTTTTAAGAAGTGAATAACGATTGAAGTGAATGTATACACATATCAGTAGCAAGGTAAAGCCATGTAGAAGGGAAAGGTAGGTTTTTTTTTGCGCCAATAGCGGCGTACGGGCCGCATTAGCAGCGCATGCATCTTGCATGCGATCTCACGAAATGTCAATGCACCCCGTTCTGTCCCAATAACCCTCACCAAAATATAAAAAAGGTTATATGGGACAGAATTATTCGGTCTACCTAACCCTAACCCTAACCATATCAAATAGTTACCTCGGGTACATATTATACGCCATTATACGACAACGACCCTTCGTGCTCTAGTAGTAGTACTAATAATACTATAGCCCACGTACAGAACTTTGCCGCAGGCTTGCGGCAACTACGCGGGCTATAGTACTAGAGCTAGGCCGAGTGTAGCCACAAGTTTCCTTCTCGCTTAACACTACGTTGGCGAGAGGCGTGTCCTACGCCGTGTAACAGTCAGAGAGCCTGGTCGGTTTAGGCCGAGTGTAGAGCCCGCGTACAGTTGCCACGGGCTATAGTACCTGGCTATAGTACAGGTCTACCTGGGATAATAGCAGGAGTCCTGATAATACTAACCTGGATGGCGGTGCTCACTGAATTAGTGATAGCTCTAGTACTATAGCCCGCGTACAGTTGCAGCAGGCTGCTGCAACTGTACGCAGGCTATAGTACTAGAGCTAAATCGGTGAATGATCAGTGAATGGCAATAAATAATATTAATTATTATTAAATTGCAATCTAGAATAATCTATAAATGCTAGATCCTACAATAGCGTCAGATCGTACACATTTCGAGGGCACAATCTATTGGCCTAATGCTGATAACAATAATAATTTATTAGTTGGTGCATGTATGATGTTACTGTGCCAGCTACTGTGTGTGTAAAAATCCTGCCACATCACAATTCATATCTCACTGTATTTCTCTCAGGCAAGGTCAGTTATGGAAGGTAATCCAGCGTCTTGTGAAGAAGCCAAGCAGGAGGATAAACGGGAAGTTTCTGGAAAAGGGGCTGTCACAAAGCGAGTCTCCCCAGGAAAAAGCCAGACGAAGAATCGACTGTCAAGTAGTGTTGACCAGTTTGTCGTGTCCGCAGAAGAATTGGTAAAGCTTGTGTCCAACAGTAAGCTGTCGCCCAGGGAGCTAGATGCTGCTCTACGCAAAAACCTTCCTGTCAACATAGACAAGCTATCACAGGTACTACGTTTTCGTGTGTGAACTGTGCAGTCTGTTCGATCTTGTGTGTACGTGTGCATGCATGTGTGTGCACATATGTAAGTTGCTGCCATCCAAATGGGTAATGATATTATTTTTGAGCAAATAAGTGTTAATAAGGCTATAGGCCTAATCTTTACTGAATTTAAATGATCTGGCAGTGTCTAAAAGACTAATTCTCATGCAATTGCATTTGCAAATTCTAATTTGTGCATTAGTGCGAAAGAATTGCTGTAGAAAGTACAATATGGAACTGTTATAAAACTCCATTGTCAATGTTTGAGAAGAGCTGTCATGAAATTCAGTCAACTGATATAAGTTATAATGTTACAAGTATAAAGTATAAACATCAATAACACAATAAATATAAATAAATAGCAAATAGGAAAAAAATACAGTATACAACTATACATTGTTATAATGTTATTATTAATTTTTTCGTAATACATTGAGTGGTAATTTTGTCCCAAATGTCATTAAATGATTAATAGAGTATTATAAGCCTCGTTCACACGAGACCTCGTATTTATGAAATACCGAATCTGAAACAAATACGCGACCGAGCGTTCACACGCTGATTCGCGGCTCCAGAAATGCTTACTTAGATCGTAGTATGGACGTAATTAGATCGTAGTATCGGCGCTGGGCCCGGCTGGGGCCCAATTGGCCACGCTCTCAACCACGCTCACCACGCTCGGGCAAATTTTTTGAGGACGGGGCGATCGTGATGAGCGTAGCTCTGGTGTGATTGGGCCTTAACCGAACGATATTTAGGGCAAATTTATCCATGTTATAACTGAAACTATATGTCGTTTATAAGATATTACAATCTTTTTACTTTTAAATTAATAAATAAGAAACACCCTTGGTCTGTAGCCCTTGACTGAAAAGTGGTTTTGCGCAACTTATCAGATCGTGCCATTTGAGTGGCGCCACCGTCGTTGTAGTCAAACTGTAGTCGTTAGTTTTAAAACATGTTTAAATAATATTTCTAATGGTGATTGAACCATGAAACTTTTTATGTAGCGTATTTTTAACCTAAATTAACTGAAAATAACCCTAAAACCTAGAGTAAACGATCCCTTTAAATACGCTCCTGGGGCCGGATTCATCAACGTTGCGTAAAGTGTATTGCGTACACCGAGTTTCTACGAAGTACGTACGCAAAGCTCGTAGGTGCGATTCATCAACGCCGCGCAGCACCTGCGTACGCAAATGTTGATGAATTCCAGTGTAAATCCACTACGCCATCGTGGCTGCTGGCTGTTGAGGGACGTGCCTAGCATAAACCAATCACACTGTGCGACACATACGGTACCATAGGAACCAAACTGACGCCTCTCTTGTATTTAAACCATATGGCTCGTCTAGCTCTGTCTACATGAGTGCTGGGGGATGTGATAGTGTCTCTGTAGAAATGTTTACGCATGTAGTTAAAAGATACATACTATACATGTAGAAACAACAGTGAAATCAAGAAACCTAAAGGTAAAATATGATCGCAATCTCTGTATTTTTATACATACACGCACAGTATACGAGGTATATAATACTTTAATAGTAATACAACTCATTTAGGGCTTGTGGTATCATCAACCCAGCCATCATAAAATTGTAAGAAAATCTGCTGTAGCCAAATGAATTGCTGAATGTATTGATATTTTGTTGTGTGTATGTGTGTAGGCAGCCAGTGGGGATCTCAGCTGTGTTGGTACTGATGAAGTGGAGAAGACGTGGTCATTCACCTACTTCATGGGCCAGTACAATACTCTCATCGAGTGGCTACACAGCATCCAAGAGGCAGTGCATCTCGAAGCAACTGAACATGTATGTCTACATGACTATTGCCCTGTAAATTCTACAGTGTGGCGTGGTTAGTGGTTTAATAGCTGTGATTATTGTGGGTAGCCAATTTGACTGGTGGGCAGGGAGGAGGGGCTGTGGTGATAACAATCACAATGACCAAATCATTATGACATGAATATCTGAGTGTGTTGCGCGAGAAGAAAGTAGTGGATTTTTCTTCATACTAGGTATTGTGTTAACAAATCTCTCCACATAGTGGGTGAAGGGTCTAGTCAAGGACTATAATAAATATTTAATTAATTAATTTAATGATGGTTCATTGGTAAAATAATATGAGCTTGGAAGCTTCTCACTGTCAGAGGCAGTTATAACTCAGTGTTCCAAGCGTGTGTATGCTTATTACCTCCGCGCAAACGGAGGTCATGCAATCGCTCGCGTGTGTGTGTGTGTGTGTGTGTTTGTGTGTATAGCCACCGCGCGATCGATAGCGCGTCGAGTCAGCGAGCGGGTGGCGCGTCGAGTCAGCAAATGGCGAGTCAGCAGCAGCCACCAGTGAGTGGTGAGGCAGCAGCAGGCGAGTCAGTCAGCAGCCGCCACCAGCGAGCACATACATGTTACATGCTCGCGGAGGTATGCACTCTCCGTGAGTGCTTTCTGTCTAGTTTAAACTAAAACACACACTTTGTATTTGAGACTGTGCACGGCAGCAGTAGAATTAAAGTATAATTAATTAAAAATACTAAGAACGTTGTAGATTGTTGTGGTTAGGATAGAGACACCAATGGTTTTCCCCATACTGGCACAGAATCCAATGAAACTAGCAATGTCTGAGGCTTTATTTATTCTTGTCTAAGGTAAAATATGATTGAGTTGTCACATGCCGTGAATTAAAAAATTATGCACTTTATTTCTGTGAGGATATTTAAAGTGGATCACATGCAAACCTTTGTCAATTGATTTTATTTCTCAGTTAAAAAACGGTAAAATTTCGTTTAGAGAACATTTGTCATGGAATCTTTTATTGAAATGTTGCCTTAAATGTATATCTGTAGAAATTGAATGCCGTTTAACTTCTGTCATACAGTTAGCATGAAGAGTTGCAACGAGTTAAATGATGCTGTAGAACTAGAAGGACATTGTGAGATTTGTAATACAGGTCACGCATACGGAAATGGTTCTCATATTCACACACTACTTATCTTCGTAAGCCAGCTGTTTAGTAAAGTAGGCCTAATATCTATATCTAGCTAGAAGATCGTACCCATGGCCCTCAGGCAGGCAGTCCTTTGAAATTTGATTGTGATTTAAAAGCTAAATTCATGGGCCTATTGCGTTATTGCTGCCTAACGCGACTTCTATTTGTTTGAGTAAAATCCTTATGATATTTATATCATTATAAATGCGTTATTAATATTATAATAACAGCTTAACTCATAAAATTAAGAAAAATTTGGAACTAGCAAGTCTTTGAAATAGTTATTATTGTAATAGTACTCCTCCCCAGATAATGAAGTGAATTTTGACAACATTGTAATGTGCAAATACTTAAATGTACGCATTATTCTGCCTTCTGGGGATGTGTTAAATTTAATATTAAATTGGCTTGCTAGCAAGTCTAATCGTATGGCCAATAAATAACTTGGATTAAATATTCGCACATTACATCAGTTACCAGTAAAAATAGTCCCAAAAACTTTATACATGTTAACTGAATGAGTATGAACATTGTTTTCAAGTCAACTATAACAATTCATCACAAGTCATGAACTATAACAATTGCTATAACAATTCATCATCTAGTAATTTACAGAAAAAAGTACAAGATTTCATTATCTCTTATTTTGGACGTTTACAAGAGCTAATAAATTAATACTTTAGGTATTTAAATTTAATAATAAATAATTTAGGTTAATAATAAGGTATTTATTAGCTCGTGACGTTTACTACAATAGTATCATATGACATGATTTTGGCATGAGAGCCCACACTCCTGTGGTTTACTTGCTAAAAGCAAAATTAGCTTGAGGGCAATATGTGGCTGGCTTATATTCTAATGGATCCATGCAATGCACTTACCTTCATTACGAGTGTGTAAATGTATGCAAGGCTGGCAGCTGCTGCTATATCTGGTTTAGAACTGGTTGTGCACGGCCTTTATCTACATAGAAAAGAAGCATTTGGTGTGTGCAGACTTTAATTACTTATAATTATGTCGTGTTGTTGTGGGGTGCAGATACTGTGTTCTGGTTCGTGTTTCTGTACAAATAGGGTGTACTGAGATATGTTTGTATTTGTAGCATGTTTGTGTTTATGCTATGTAGTAAAAAGTAAAACACTGATTTTATACGGAGTTCTATTGCCTGCATCTAACCAGCGCCCAGTCCGTAGTTACCCTATGTTCTATGCCCAATGCTTTCAGGAGCCCCACGTAGCAGAGATGCAGCAGAGGAGCCACCTGCGGGCACGCTTTAACGAGAATGCAGAGAAGCTCTCGCGCCGCTACCCAAACATGAAGGACGAGGTGAACTGGCGCGTGAACTTGCTCAACCACAAGTGGGACACACTAGAGTGCGTCATCACACCGAAGAAGGGCAGCAAGAAGAATGACGACAAGCTCTTCGCAGGTGACACATGTTTGGAAACACTCCCGTCCTCGTGAACCATGGAGTTTGCGAACCGCAGGGATGAAATTTGAATTCGGTTTACGAACACCTACATATTTGGAACCTCTCGTTGTTCTATGCCACCGCAGTCTACGGGGAGAAATGCGTCCATGTGTGTTACTAATGTGTTCGTTTGACCAAAATGCGCAAATATTTTACCCTTGGGCCGCAAACACTTTTTTCTGCTGTACGTATGCGGTTCTGATTTCATCTGTATGGCTGGCGGGCAGCCGGCCACATAAAATTAACCATCCCTGGCCAACCCTCCCATAGCAGTGCAGTGATGAAAATTAGTGCTTGCTCAGTGGGTCTGAGCCGAGTGGAAACAGTATTGGGCCTATAGAGTTGCATCCAAAAGTCACTCAGAATAAGATGCTTTGTACCGGTCATATCATCAGCTGGCCCCTTTAATTACGTTTGGCCTCAAAACTGTATAATTTTCTGCGGTTGGCTACTGTTTTGGAATTATCTAGCACTGCAATATCCAACGTTTTATGTGAACAGACCCGTGTTGTTACGGTAAGAAGGAGATCTAATCTTTTTAGACTGCTCAAAATTCTAGACTGCCGGAAATGATGCCATCACCATTTTTGTTCTGTGGTTAAATGCAATATCTCTGAAGATAAGTGTGCACGTATATCTTGATCTTTAAATTAAACAAACATGAATCCCAGGTTCAGTGCTGAATCAATAGTTGCTTACATGTTACACAGATCTTGAGGATGACATCTGGAATGTTCGGCAATGGTTAGGAGAAGTAGACGAAAAAATGAAAAATGGACCACCAGATGACAGCACATGGACATTACAGCAGTTGGAGGACAAACTGAAAGAACAAAAGGTAGGATTTTTTTCATTTAACCTTGACCGGCCAGGTTTTTTGCACCAGCCATTGATATTTGAAATGTATATTAAACATTATTTAGGAATATAATGATCATAATTGTATTATATGTGAAGTACTAACAGAGCACAGTTTTAAAAAGATTTTTGCTTAATGTTTATATGAACTTAATTTTTGATTTTATTACAATGACAATGATTGTTATACGTAACCACTTTGTAAGTAGATCATGTCATGTGTATCAGCTGATATTCTGTTACCTGTGTTAACTGTGTTTTCGCGGCTCTTTTATTGTCCAGCCTAGTTGTGTCATAACCTGTGTTTAACACTAAGCTGTGAATAGTTTGGTTGTGTGTCTAAGCGCACTGTAAAGCCAATATATAGTGAGGTGGTGTGCCAAGTTGTATATGTTGTATTACTAAGGCTGCAGTATCGGCGTACTCAGTTATGCTAGAACCTTTGTGTAATAATAGGCCGAAAGTGAGGTCGATGATTAGATCCGTGGCATATGGCAAGTCATGCTGCAGTTGTGCTATGCTAAGGTATTATCTCCAGTGGATAATTGTTTCTTTTATACGTTGTCCATTCCTGTCATTACCCATCAACTGAGGAACTACGCAGCTTAAGGATTCCCATCGACCCCCTCTCAGCGTGCGTGCACGCGTGCGCATTCATGCGTGCGTGTCCGTGAGTGTTCGTGCATGCTTCCTTGCCCTGCGTAAGTTGGCACGTGCTTTTCCGTTTGTCTATGGTGTTGCACGCGCGTGGGTAAGAATGGATACAGTGCTTGTGTTTATACACGATGAAACGTGGATAAATTTCGCGCGTGCAGGAAACCGGAATAAGCGTTGCCTTGGGATGACTCTGTGTATGTGAACGCTATTGTGTAATTTAATATTTATGCGCGCTGAATTTCCAACTAATACACGGCTAAAACGCTACACTGCAACACGCCCGTAGAACGCTCACATGTCCCTGCTTAAATGAGCGTTAATATTTTATAATGACTTAACAATGATCTATAAATGATAAAATTACGGTACTAGCGTAGTGCGTGCACAAGTGTGACGCAGGCAGTGAGATTGCATTCTGTGCTTAGTTTTAGCAGCACGCAGTATTCAAAATGAGATACATCGGCGAGAAATAGAACAGAGGTGTAAACGTAATAGCGCGCAGAGCAGGAGTGCGTACAATAACAAATCATCATCTCACTCCCCCTCCCTATAGCGAGAGTCATAATTACATTAGGTGCTAAGCTTATAAAGGTGGCTACACGGTCGGTCTGGGTTTATCAAATTTGCTCATGTATCCTATGATTTCGTTACTAACAATTTATTCTCTAAATTATGTCCTATGTATCCCGTGTTGTTTCTGTTTCTGTGCCGTTGTATCACATTTTGGTGAGTCTCTGAGTGTCTAAGAGTGCCCGTCTGCGTGTGCGCGTGCGTGGGAACGAACGCGTGGTTCATGCATGGCAGCAGCAGCAGTAGCAGCAGCTGCACGTGTGTACACTCTTCACCAGTGATGTGTATCGAAACTGTGTCTTTGTGTAGGGCGGCATTTTGGCAACGTTGGGGGAAAGAGAAAGGGACGGTTTCAGGAATACTGGAGTGTGGGCCGGTGTATGCGAAACACTCCCCCTTACATACTCCGCCACAGATTTTTAGGGAATACTGTTACAATCATTGTACTGTCACCTATGTTTGCTATTTTGATGTTATTTATTTTATTTTAATTGAATCAAATTTTTTGCCACGTGAAAATATGAAGCCTTAACTGTCACAAAAATAGTGCTTTATCCTCCTGGACCACCATCTAGATCTCCCTGCATTAGACCTTGAAGTAATCATTCTGAAATTTCCAATGAATGATTACTCAGAATAGATTACTCCAAGATTAGACTTTAGTTTCTGGTTGCTGAATCAAATTATAGTTATAGTATTAGTGTCACCATTACTTCATCGTACTGAGGCCATGAATCTCTTTGTGTGCAGTGTAATTCTGGTGGGTGCTATTAGTCACCATTAACTCTAAAGAGACTATAAACGACTGCACGTGCCATATGCATTACCATTTTTGTACTTAGTTTGGTTAGGTGTAAGAAAATTGGTAACAATAAAACTGGTCATCTGAAAATTGATGCCAGGAAAACTGGCCACTCGGGAAATTGGTGCCAGGAAAACTTGCCACTTTGTTAAGGATAGTAAACGGGAAGGAACAGTAGAAGTGGAGGAAGAAGGCAGAGAGAGAGAGAGGTGTGGTAAATTGAGACCGTGAAGAGCAACATATAATAATGGGGAGGGGGAAACTCGAAAGGAACCAAAGATAAAGGAGAATGGGCGTTGTTGGGGAGATATGGGAGGAGTGAGGTGGTAGATATGGAAGGGAGATCGTGGTAGAGGGGTACTGTAGATGAGGTAGAGGTGGAAGGGGTACAGGAGGAGCGAGGAGGTAGATGAAGAAATGTGTAAGTGGTGGAGGATGGAGGAGGTGGAAGAGAAGGAGAAAGAAGAGGGGGAGGTAGAGAAGAAAGAAGTTGATAAAGAAGCGGTAAGGCAGAGGAGAAGGGAAAACCTCCTCCTTCTCACACAACCTCTTGCTTCTCCTCCCCCTCCCCACACCGTCTCTTGCTCTCATCCGCCACAATTTACTACAGGCTTTTATTCCTCTCTTCTCCTAAACCTCTTGTGTTCCCCCATGTCCATGCTCTTATCTCTTTGTAGTAGCAAACCGAGGATTTCTACTTGTGGCCAATCGTTCTGTGATCCTGGTTTTCTGTTGATAAATTGTCCAGATCGCAGTTACTATAGGTTTCGACGTACTCGGTGTGCTTACTAGAGCTAGGTATAGGCTGTTAGATTCCGCGTGTCGTTGAGAATCGGTCAGGTGTGTGGCTCAGCGACGGGAACGTTTGGACTAGTGGACAGCTGTTTCTGCTAAATAGCCATAATACAAAACAGTGATTCCACTTTACACGTATTTAACAGTTATTCTAGTAATAAATGTAACCTTTTGTGAGATGTTTATGAAAATGTCGGTTAGTTGCAATCAAAAACACATTTTCTATGTGCTAAAAACATCCGGATATAAATTATAATGTTTAATTCGTTTATTGTAATTTATTAACTGTAAAAACCTATCGCAGACACTACCACGATGCATTAATTACAGTTGAGTAAGTGCATTAGCAGCCCTCGCTCTAAAATATCAATATAATTGGAAAAAACCAAGCTGTGAAACGAATTCATTCAAAATCTATTCAATGTTAATTCATATCCAAGTGACTCCCATACATGCACGTGTGTGTATGCTACCAAGTAAAGTTAAATGAGCGATATATATATATATTATATATATATATATATATATATATATAATATATTATATATATATACTATTAGAATCAGCATAATGATGAAAGCCCTTCAGGTTGAATACGAAGTGATTGGGTGCGCTGTCCGCGTCTGTAATAATAGCTCTGCGGACATCAATATCCAATCAAGAACTGTCTAGCACTAGCAGTCCCGCAGTACGACCCTCCTGAGCGAGCACCCTGTGCCTGCATCCATGGCCATTATCATCGTCACGTATCCACGTTGGTGGCTTGCCTTCAGCTGGCACGCGACTAACCGTTATATATGGCCACACAGATCGCTTGTTATGCGGTTCGCTTTGTTTTGCTAGACCTCAACAGAGATTGTGCATGGGCCAGTGAGCTTTGGGCCGTGCGTGTGTGCGTGTGCGCGGCTTTTGTTGGTTAAGAACGGGCGGTGGCCAAAGCACAGGGAACAGTGGGAGAGAGCGCCTGCGAGTGGGAGAGTGTGCCTGCGAATGGGAAACTGTTTCCGATTAGTTGCTGCTCCGGCCCGCACGTTTGGGAAAGTGGGTTTGATTGGCGACGTCGACCGCGCAGTGACTTACAGCGTTTCGGTGCCACTGGACGTGGTTTGCTTATAGAGCAGTGGAGTGAGGGTATACTGATACACGCATGGAGTGATGTGACAGAGAGGAGGACTGACATATTGGTGTGACACTGCAGCTGCAACCGATACTACGTGTGACACTGTAACGTGGCGTAACGCTGCAGCCGTGTCGTGTGTGATATCGCGTAACATTGCAGCATTGTGTGACATCGTGTAGCAGTGCAGTCTTGTGTGACACTGCCTGATATCGTGTGAAACAGTGGCCACGTGTGGCGACTTATTTTGCGACACTGTACTGATGTGTGGCACTGCATCCGTGTGTGATGGTACACACTTTAGCCCTGTAATGTTGGTTCTATAAAGGTACGTATCCCCAGAGGCTATACGGAAGCGATTGCCACTTCTCTAGAGAAAAAATCAACTGGCGGCGAATAACTGCAGCTTTGTATAATTATGCAGAGTCGTTTGTTTGACGCCTCGGGAGACGTTGTTGTAGTGTACGTACGCGGCGACTGTTGGCAGCTACAAATACCACAGAGAATTGAAATGTGTGCGTGCGTACGTGTGCGCGTGTGTGTACGCGCGCGTGTGTGTGTGTGTACGCGTGTGTGCGTGCGTGCGTGCGTGCGTGCGTGCGCGTGTGTGTGTGCGTGCGTGCGTGCGTGCGTGTGCGCGTGCGTGCGTGTGTGTGTGCGCGTGTGTGTGTGCGCGTATGCGTTTAATAACTGTATATGTGTTGTTTAGTAGTGCGCTAGTAATAGCCTTGTTATTAGCCGGAGTAAAAGCTGCATTGGGTCTGTAAGTTAGAGTGAGTAATTTTATCTGTGATGGTCAAGCATCTACTTGATTTTTTTTATTTAATGATAGCTAAGACGGCAGTTATTTAGTAAATTACATTGATAATAACAGGAGTGATTAATAATCTATCTATCTATTATTATTCACTCTTGATAATAATATGCGTGAATTTGGGTAATGGACTGGTGTTATTTTAAAAACAGATGTAGTTTTGTCAGCGATATATCCTTCTAATTCATGTTTTAATTCACCGTATCGCGATTATATTTCGTGACT